TAATACATTGCAACTTTTGCTTAAAAACCATCGTTCGCTTTATTTTACTCTTGAACTTCCTGCTTAGATTGATCGCTGATTTGGTGAAGCATTGTTGTCGCTGATCTTGCACCTGCATTCACATTGTTTCACATCAACAACTCTCTCAAATAAAGGAACAAAAGAGAAAAAAAATCAAATAGGCTTCACAAAAGAGCTCTCTTCTTGATTGGTGCTTTATAGATTGATGATCGTAATTAGCTTAAAAGACTGTATATATATAGCTTTGGAGATCCCAACTCCTTGCTGTTCACGGAATATGAGTTTTAGTTAGAATAGAACTCCACATGTTCTAAAGCTAATAAGAGTCTAAGTAGGAATATCAATTGTTTATCCTTGTCAAAATAGGAATTTCAATTCACATAATTATTCTACACTCGCACAGAATAAAAGACTCATATTGACTGTAGCCTTTGCCAAAAATATTAGATTGAGTATTTGAGTCAAAACACAACAAATCTCCATCTTGACTCAAATGCATCAAGCAATCCTCACTTACAAAAGCTAATTTACTCCACCTTCTCTAATAGCCCCGCAGGGCATCAGGTGTGACACATATCCATAAAGTTCAAGCCCGGCTTGAACTTGCCAACTGAAAGAGGCATCCTAAACAAATCGAATGAACTATCCGCACGACGACCGTAACGCTTAGCGAAGTCATCATCTGAAGTAGCTCCTGAATAGCTAAAGGGCATAAGATTGTTAACCGATAATGCATAAGCTACTATATCTTTGCGGTGGTTGAATATCTCGTCTAGACCGATCGTAGGCAATAGTGTATTCTTGCTCTTCCTGCAGTCGCTGAGGTGCTTCATATACTTGAACGGGATATGGTTACTGAACTCCCGTAGTTTTATCTTGCTGAAGAGCTGAATCACGAATTTCTAACTCCACATTATGTCCTGTAATGCGCGCCTTATTGTCAACTGAAACTGGTGACTGTTTTTGGTGGAACATAGCAGATTCATCGAAAGTGACATTACAGCTGATAATAATCTTAGGAGACTTTGGATCATGGCACTATAACCTAAAACCCTTAACACCTGATGCATAACCTAGGAATATGCACTTCTTTGCTTGAGGCTCAAGTTTCCCTTGACTAACATGTGCATATGCAAGACAACTAAATATTCTAAGATTAGAATAATCCGCAGGCTTACTGGATTAATCCTCCTCTAAAGTTTTACAACCAACAACAGTAGATGATGATCGATTCACTAAGTAACAAGCCGCATTCATCATTTCTGCCCTGTAATCCTTGCTTAAACCTGCATTGAACAACATACAACGAGCTTTCTCCAAAAGGGTTCTATTCATACGTTTTGCCACTTTATTCTTTTGCAGTGTGCGAGGGACTGTATGATGTTTAACGATTCCCTCCTTGCAGAACTTATTAAATTCTCCTCCATAAAATTTGAGGCCATTATCAGTTCTAAGCGTCTTAATTAGCCTCCCAGTCTGCTTCTCAATCAAAGACTTCCACTGCTTGAAAGTCACAATACCTCATAGTTATGTCTCAAAACATAGACTCAAACCTTCCTCAAGTAGTCATCAATGAATGTCAATAAATATCTTGAACTACTACCCTTCGAGGCAACTTGAGAAAGTCCTCAAAGATCTGAATGGATATAATCCAAAGTACCTTTAGTCTGATGCATTGCTGTACTGAACCTAATTTTTTCTGCTTCCCGAATATGTAATGCTTGCAGAATCCTAATTTTTTTGTACTCTGTCCACATAAAAGACCATTTTTACTCAATTCGGCCAACCACACTCACTTATATGACGGAGTCTCATGCTATAATCTAGTAGTATCAGCCCCTAATATTGATGATGCAACTATAGCCGAACCGGCGATGGTAGGACCTTGTAAAACATACAACATGCTGATCTTCTTTCCTTTCATAACCACAAGAGTCTTTTGTAACTCTAAGAACTCCACCTTTACCTGAAAAATTGCACCCAAGTCTATCAAGAGTGCCCAAAGAGATGGGATTCTTCCTCAAATCTAGAACATGCCTAACATCGGTCAAAGTCCTGATGACTCTATCATGCATCTTAATCCGAATTGTGCTTTTCTCAACAGTCTTGCATGAGACATTATTCCCCATAAGAACAACTCCACCATCAATAGCTTCATAAGTGGTGAACCAGTTCCGATTAGAACACATGTGATAGAAACAACTTGAATCCAAAATCCAATCATCCATGCTCCTATTTTTATCATCTGTAGCCAACAAAATCACATCTTCAGCAATATCAACTTCAACAGAGTTCTCCTTTGATTTTTCTTCATACTCTTCTTATTTATTCTTGCTCTTCAATCTATAACAATCAATTTTGATGTGCTCTTTCTTCTTACAATATCTGCATGTCAGATTCATATGCTTCGACTTATACCTGTTAGGCTGTTACCTCTANAGCCACTTTCGCTTGTGGTTAACTCTTTGTTGATCTTCTTATTCAATAAGTTCTCTTTGACGTCATTGATGCCAATCGAATCTTGACCGTAAATCATAGTATCCTTGAAGTGCTTGTAGAAAGACGACAAAGAACATAATAACAATATGGTTTGATCTTCATTATCGATCTTAACATCAATCTTACTCAAATATGTAATCACATAATTGAATTCACCAGTATGAGATTTGATGGATGAACCTTCTGACATCCAAAGTGTGTACAAACGCTACGTTAAGAGGAGGTGATTAGTGAGCGATTTCGTCAAATACAAATCCTCTAATTTAAACCACAAATCAACGGCTGTCTTCTCCGTGAGAAATTCTAGCAAAACTTCGTTTGTCAAACATAACTGGATCATTGTAAGAGCTTTATCATCCAACTCATCTCATTCTTTCTCCGTCATTGTAGTCGGTTTCTTCGACTTCCCGAACAAAGCCTTCTTCAATCCCCTCTGTGTCAACACGACAATCATCCTAACTTGCCAAAGGCTGAAACTAATGTTACCGTCAAACTTCTCGATATCCCATTTCGTAGTGGTTGTCATCATCTTCTCGTCTGATCGATAGCTGAGGGCTTTGGTACTAATTTGTTATGACAAACTCTCCAGGATAAGCTAATATCAATCACACAAAAGCACGAAAAATATCGAGAACACACGAACACAAATATATATGTGGTTCGGCTTGTATCCTATGTCCACTGACGAAGGAGAAGAATAGCTTTACTAAATTGTGACGAATACATTGTGGAGATGTCTTAATCATTCAATCCCAAATAACACCCTAAAAGCCTAATACAACTTTCTCAAATAAAGAAACAGAAGAGAAAAAAATATCACATAGGAACTATCCTCTACACACACACACACACTCTCTCTCTCTCTCTCTCCTCTTTCTCTCCCCCTTGGGGGCGATTTTTGCCTAGCCCCCCACCTCATCTTGAACTTTGATGACTCGAACGAGTGCGGCGCGAGTGTGTGACTTGTGGAAGAAACTGCCAACCCATGTATGGATTGGTGTTCATGGTGAATTTCGCCGGCCCATTATTTATGAAAAGCTCCCCAAATTCTGCAATTTCTGCAAAATTCAAGGCTGCGGAGTAGAAGAATGTAA